CCCCCAACCTTCCCCCACCCTGACTTCACAGAACCAATACAAGGTATAAATCTTTAACAAAAACAGTTTAAGATATACTTAAGTATATCTTTGAACATGACTCTTGAAGACATATCATTTTCTTTTTTTATTCTCATCAATCACTATGCTGGCTGTAGAATTCTGGAATTAAAGTTAACACGTCTAGAAATTGCCAAGGCTGGTATACACTGATCTACCTGAAACCACTGGGTGAGATCATTCAATGGCATGGAGTGTTATTGTGCAATATCGATAGCAATGCACATTGATGATAGTCAGTAATGTAGTACATGCCGACTGCAGGCTGGGCATCTGAAGGAGGCTGTGAGGGTCTAGATGACTTCCAATTAATTCCCGAGACAATGGCCAATTAATCTAATAATAGCAAGCTGCTCAAAGTCTAATAAATGAAGATAAAGCCCCCAGGAAAAACTGAAATGACATCCACATTAGCTCACAGTAATTCAGAATCTTGTGATACAAGAATGAGCACACAGCCACGACCCACACACATTGCTTCCAGCCGAAGCCTGTTCCGCCAGCAGAGTCAGTAATCCCTGGGCTGAGCTTGAGCACAATTAAGGGGTCTTCTTGGATGACAACTCCTGCTTACCTATGGCTAAGGAGAGGCTCTTTACAGATTTATTTTTGTGTCCCAATTATATCTTTTCTTGCATGGGGAGGCCTTCCTCACAACCAGTCATGCCTCAATCACTTCCTGTATGGTTTACTGCAATGTTCTCTAATAGGGGTGTTCTTAAATATCGCCTTAGTACAACTGAATCAGAATACAGTGCTGCATGCAGTGCACATTCTATGATGGAATGTGGACATGATGTTGGGAGATGGGAGGAGGGAAGAAGAGATGCTGCATTGGAAACATCAGATGCATTGATGCACCGTGGGAAAGCCCACAGCTGCATAAAGAGTAGAGAAAGAAATCCAGAAACAATCCTAAGTTATCATGAAGTAAAAAGAGACTTGCAAGATTCCTTTAATGTAGCCTTGCAATAAATAAAATTAGCTCATCTGGTCTGTTTCTTATCTGATCTACCTGATAAAGCTGATATGCTCCCAGGTTGACCAACATTACATTGAGTTGAATGAGCTACATGGACTTCCAGTTTTCTTCCAGGTACAATTCAAGTTCCTGTCTTTCATGGGACCAAGTTATTTCTGGGTTTTTACCCTATCCAATATGGGGGGGGGCATCTGCTCATCCCCCCAGATTGGATAGGGTAGCACATTCCAGGTACCTTTCCTGAAATGCTGACTTATGCTAGGACCTAGAAACCTGCCTTTTCTGGGGGTGCCTCTACCTTGTGGAACCCCCATCCTTGTGGAACTCCCTTGCAGACAATCCTCCAACATTGAGCTTTCCAAAATGCCATCAAGACTTGGGTTTTTTACTGAGTCACTGAAGTAAAGTAATGGTTGTTGTGGCATCTGGCATTTTAATTTTTGCTTCATTTGTTTTTATTTTTATGGTTTTGTTGTGAGCCTCCTACAGTCATGCTTTAACATCTTTTAAATAAATAGATCAAGCTGTATAATTAGTTGGTAATTTGGTAGTAGGTATTTTAATAGTAAAGTGTCTATCCCAAAGCTGATTTTCCTTCAAAGACTTTGTTTCTGTTCATTTCCCCCCCATTTTCTTAATACTTTAAAGGGAAGGTGTTCAAGAATACAGAATTTGTAAAGCATTTTTTTCAATCATGATAATAGAGACACATCTGACCTTTCTGTGTATATCTTTGCCAGTGGTAGCAGCTGTTCATGCGGTTTCAGTATCAGGACCTTCAAAGGCAGTGCACGCGATAAGAGGAGAAAATGTCACCCTACCATGCAACTTTAAAAGTGGTCCTGCAGAGCCAAAAGACTTTATCTCTTGGAGGGGAAAGGCCTTGGGAAACGGCCATACGGTAAGGTATATACATATGCACCTGGGGGAAAAGTGTGATGGCTGAGCATTTAAGAAAACTAACAATCTTTTCTGTCCTCTATTAATAACAGCAGCAATAGCAGTTAGACTTATATACCATTTAACAATGCTTTACAGCCCTCTCTAAGTGGTTTACAGAATCAGCATATTGCCCAAAAAACTGGATCAGGGGTGGGTTGCTGTCGGTGTTACTGCTGGTTTGTAACCCGTGCACAACGTGCCCGCTCGCATGTGCATTCAATATAAATTGTTCTGTGTGCAATATCACTAAAATCCAAAATGGTGGTGGCCAGGCGGCAGCGAGGGAACCGGTTCGGGAGTGTGGCAGGCCTGGGCCACTGCCAGTTCTGTGAACCAGGCCTGAATAACACTACCGGTTTGGCCGAAGTAGGCTGAACTGGCAGCAACTCACCTCTGATCTAGATCCTCATTTTACTGACCTCGGAAGGATAGAAGGCTGAGTCAACCTTGAGCCGGCGAACTGTTGATCTGCTGCCAGTCAGAAGAAGGAGCACGCAATACTGCATTTTAACCACCAGGCTCATAACTATAGCAAGTTCCTATAGAAGGAAATATATTTCAGATAATCTAGTATGGCATTACATAGAGGCTTATAAGGCAAAGCCTGTTCTCAATTTATACTCAGAAACAATTGGAAATCAATATAGTTGATTCAGGTCTGCAGAGTTACCATCTTTAAAGTGCATGCTATACACTGGTCTGTCAACTACTTCTTTTCAATAGTTGACTTGTCCAAAATCTGTTCCAGTTTCATTCCATGTAGAGTACATGATAATTAATTGAAATAAGTGACCAGTAAGCATGAATCTATGATCCCTGAAAAGTATAAGTCTAGAGTAAGAAGCTATGGTTTTCCCAGTAGTAATGTATGGCTGTGGGAGTTGGACCATAAGGAAGGATGAGTAGTGAAGAATTAATGCTTTCAAATTGTGGTGTTGGAGAAGACTCTTGGCAACCTCTTGCACTACAAGAAGACCAAATTAGTACATCCAAAAGGAAATTAACCCTGACTGTTCTTTGGAAAGACAAATGTTGAAGCTGAAGCTCAAATGCTTTGGCCACCCAATGAGAAGAGAGGACTCATTAGAAAAGACCTCAGTGTTGGGAAATGTTGAAGGCAAAAGGAGAAGGATATGGCAGAAGATGAGATAGTTAGCTTGTGTCACATTTCAAGCATAAATTTGAAATAACTTTATACATTCCAGGCAATTTCTCTAGTGACAAATACCAACAATACATAATGTTATAAAAGTCTTATTTAAGATTGGAGTATAATGTAAATGCCGAACCTTTCAATTAAATATGTTCCCAATGTTCCATTTGTATATTCTAACCAAAATGTTCAGCCAACCTTATCATCTATTATTTAACTTCTTCTTTTTCTACTAAAATTTTTAAAAAATTTAAATTTTAGAAATTACATATCATAATTTTTTTCTATAATTTTATTTCAAACTCAGTTTTATATTGTTTAAAACCATAATTTTTAAAATATATTTCAAATGTTTCCAATAATTGCACATAAGAAAAGCATTAAGTATGTCCTTCTATTATCAGAGCTCTTTTTGATTTTATTTTATATTTGTTTTAATAGAATTCTAATGTATCATAGTAAGTTTTCATCGTTTCTTGTACATAAAATATTTCTTCTGCGAGAAGCCATTAAAGTGTTTCTGACACAAACTAGATTTGTATTTATTTCATATTTTCAGAATAGTGCATAATGACTTTTAAAACCCACATTAACCATAGCTTTATCGTACCACAAATATCTATGTCATCCAAACACCAAATCATGTTCTCCTAACTCCAATTGATTTCTGTGTATCTGCAATTCTCACTCCTTCATCCATACTAATTAACAAGCAGAAAAATATAATTTCATATGGGTAAAAGCAACCCTTCTCTTTCTTTTGCATTGTCTAATACCTTATGATTAATTCATAATTTTTACCCCATCATATAAATTTAGATAATCCTTCTGCCATTGTTTAAATGGTGCATCAGTTGTTAAAACAGGTATTGTCTGTAATTAAAAAAAACATTCAGGTATAACATCCATCTAAATCATGGAATTTCTCCTCAACAATGACAATTGTACTTTGTTTCATTTTAAAAAATATTTTTAATTCCATTCCATGTCTTAACATAATTATTTTGTTATATATATATATATATATATATATATATATATATATATGGACTCTTGTGACGAGCCGATTGACAGATAATGGAAGCTGTTAGCTTCCTCCCATAATTGGGGCTTACCAGGGGTTGTGACACTAAATATATATACATACATACATATACATACATACATACATACATACGTGTGTGTGTCTGTCTGTCTGTGTGTGTCTGTCTGTGTGTGTGTGTGTGTGTCTGTGTCTGTGTGTCTGTGTGTCTGTGTCTGTGTGTGTCTGTGTCTGTGTGTGTCTCTGTGTGTGTGTTGTGTGTGTCTGTGTGTGTCTGTGTCTCTGGTCTTTGTCTCTGGTCTGTGTGTGTGTCTGTGTGTGTCTGTGTCTGTCTGTGTGTG